CTGTGGTGGTATAAAACTGGTGTTGGTGAGTGGAAAAGTCACATATTTTGGTTTAGGTGTTGGAGATTTTGCACATATCCAAGCATCTGGAATTAGACTCCTCCACCCAAAGCTGCTGTGTTTTATGTGTTTGGTCTTCTGCAAAAGATCCAAGTCCTGCTTTCCCTTGCAGCCTACACCACAAAACCCCAACATTACAATTCCAGAAGAGATGGTGCTCAGCAGCACAGAAACACCTGCATCTGGAGCCACGGAGGGCCTTTCCTCATCCCTGGTTTCAGTCAAGGTCTCTCTGGACTCCAGAGCTGGTGGCAGGAGAAGTTCTTACCCACTTCTGTCATCCAGGAGCCTTTCAGATCAGCTGCCTCATGATGGTTGGACTGTAGTGTTTCTTCTGTTCTATCTCAGCCCTCAGTGATATTTCACAGACCAAGAAATGACTTGAGTAGATCTTTATTTGCCTTGTGGCTAGAGGCTGCTTATTGTTCTGTTGGGTTTTGCTCTTCAGCTGCTTGTATTTCACACTACTCCAGTGTGACTTTCTAGTTTTCAGGCCTATTTATTTTTGCTTTAGCCTTCAAGGCTAAAGCAATGGCAATGTCTTAAACCAGCTTTGCTTCTGGAAAAATCACAATGTGGAACTGAATCTTGGAGCACCGACTGTGTCCACCTACAGTGTTGTTTTTTCATCCCAGCCTGAGATGTTGTGACATGAAGATTTTCTCTGGTTTTTGGTGAAGGAGTCTCAAAATGTTGCCCTGCTAAAGTGCAGTTTGGGCAGTGTGTGCTGTTTAAAACCAAATGTCATCCACCTCACAACCTGTCTGCTGGGAGGCTCTCATTTTTCAAGGTTTGCTTGTTTTTTAGTAAGGGAGTTTTGTTGTTGGTAGACGTGAAATTGTGTTGAGCTTGTTTGTTTCATCTCATGCTTGGTTAGGTCTCTAAAGCCTTAATCCCAGTTATGGTTTACTTTTGGTAATGTAAACTGTGTAACTTCCATGAATGTTTACCCCTTTGCATTTTTTTGGAGTGAACTTCTCCATTTCTCTCCTGTAGTTGTTACATATTCAGATTCCCAAAATTCACATTGAATAAAGCCATTTCCTAATAAACAAAATTATGAAATAGTCTTGATAGTTTTCCCATGTAAGGTTTCATACTAAGCCAGCCCTGTCTCAAGCCTTGAGTAATACTCCAGAGATGTTGGCAGTGGAGTGAGGTTTGCAGTGTTCAGGAGTCCAATGCACGTTTTCTATCTACAGACATACATGACTAGGTGATGAATCAGCAGTATTTTGTCTCTGAGCCAAGGAACATAATTTATTGCTGAAAGACCATTTTTTGTCTGTCTGACAATAAAATGATTTTCTGAACATTTAGGCAGAGCAATTTTTGATTAAAAATACTTTTGCCAGTGATATGGTACTTGAATTATGATCTGTGGGCATCGGAGATTAAATACATGTTGTGGGGAGCTCTCTGGAACTGAGCCTGTGAAAAGGGTGCATTATGCTGCAAATTATTAAATATTGATTTCTCTAACAGTCTACAGGCATCAATGAATCTTGTAATATGCTACTAAATAATATGAGATTAACATCTCAACAGAAAAAGTAATTACAAATGTGTTTGAATAACATACAAGGTAGGTTTGTGGATACCAAAGGAGATTCAACTTTGGCCTCTTGAGTATCACAGAATGGGTAAGGTGGGAAGTGACCACTGGCGGCCATTTAGTCCAACCTCCCTACTCAAGGACAGTCCCCTAGGGCACAGTTACTCAGGATTGTGTCTAGATGGCTTTTGAATGTCTCCAAGGAAGTATCCAAAACCACCTAGGAGATCTTATCATCTAGGACTTTTGCAGCCAAAGTTCCCAAAGCTTCCTGAGGTCTGTGATCCACAATGGATGCTGGATGTTTGGCTTTGGAGATCACAGCCACCTGCCAGAGGAAGTGAGGCATGTTCTTTACAGAGCTGGCATTCTTCTGCATCACTCTGAGGTTTCCTGGCAGCAGGCTCTGAGGCAGCTCAGTTAAGCACAGTTTACCCTCTATAGTGAAGCTGTTGCTTGCACCAGGGATGGTTTCTTTACAATGGTTTGAAGAAGTTGTTACTGCAAAGTGTTTGCTCTCAGCATTCATTATGGAATTACTTCACAGAGATTAGCAATTTGAATTTGTCATTGCTTTTTCTCTCAGTGTAAATATTTTAGAGCAGTAACTTCCTCCAGAAGAATGAAGGAAATGGATTTTGTTGTCTTAATTTTATGTAGAGGGAAATACAATTTTCACGCGTTGTTCTTAAGCATCACTTAGATATCCACGTGAGGCACATTTTTAACTTGCTGCTTCACTTTGTTCATGAGACAAAATTTATGCTCTTCTACAGACATTAGTCTTTAAATTTCATTAGGAGGCATGACAACATCTGGGGCCTTAGGTCATTGGAAATGAGCAGACAGCTTTAGTTACAGCTTGAAAATTTGTTTTACATTTTGTGAGGTTTATGTAGCAGCAGAAGTGGAACTACTCATCACATACATGTGGACTGTGGTTGGTACTAAACGAACAACAAAAGGTTCTGTATTTGGGGAAAATGCAGAGGTACAATTTGGGCTTTGGTTTCCACTGTTGCAAAGACAGCTGAAATCCCAGCTCTGGGCTGACTGCAGTGAGTGACCAAGAAAATGTGTATCATTGACCTCCAAGTCACAAAAAGCATAGCTTAGTTAAAGAACAAGAAATGCTGGTGAGAAGCTTGAGTTACAGGATGAGGCTGGGGGAAAGAAGCTGCCTGATAGAGACGTTAATTCCTAAATCCAGGTGTGTCTGAGTGAAAGCCTGTCACCTCTGGGGCAAGTGGAGCCTGTCCTTGTGACCAAATTCAAGGCATACAATCCATTGTCCCTCCCCAACTTTGAATGTTTATTTGTTTTTATGATTTTTGCTGAGGTATCTCAAGGATATTCGTAGTACATTAGGTTTTATTGTGTTCTGCTTTATTCTTTGTGCTGCAATAACATCAAAGTCTTGCAAGGCCCATATAAAGGTTGGCAGAGGATATTGGCATTTAGGAACAGTGCCTAAAGTCCCTCAGGGTGGAAACTCAAATGTTGGCTATTGCAGGCTTGCCTAATACTGCCACAGTGTGTTTCAGCTAGGCTGGAAACTGTCCTCCTGGGGTGAGTGGTTTAGTCATCCCATCACTGATTTAAGGCTGAACTAGCACACAGTTGCTGGCCTGGTATTTCCAAGGGTTGTAATACCCTACTGAAAGGTGAGTATACCATAAGTAGGTGAGTCAGATGAATGCTTTCAAATGAGCTCTTCATGTTTTGTATAACTAATAAAGCAGTTAAAAAAAAAAAAAAGGCAGCAAAAAACACAAAATGCAAATGATCCTGAAAGGCTTGAGATTGGGAGACTGCTCAGAAAGCTTTGATTGTTGTTAAGGTCAGTTAACTCCAAGAGATCATTTACAGGTTTGATGAAGTTTCAGAACCACATCCTTTCAGTTGTGTTCTGAAACCAAGTGGCATATGGTGCTTCCAACATTCAGCATCTTCTCTAGTGAGACTAAAGATGATGACTGCGTTTCTCCTAAGATGTTTTTTTTTGAAGGCTCGAATGAAAAGCTCTTCATTCCAACCTTCAGCCCTCTTTAGCTGTAACAAGACATGTTCATGCTGCAATCACACGCAGCTCGTGACCACATTACAAAGCTACTTTAAAATCAAGTAACTTAGCTGTTGCCTGAATATTTAATCAACTTCTTGGCTGGCTTTTATTGCCAGTATCAGATTCCATAATGTGATGTATTTGTACTGTAGATATACCTATAAAAAAAAGGAGAAAAGGAGACAGAAACCCATTCTTCCACCTTTCATATCCCAGCTGAGTTTGAAACTAGCAGAGTCATTAAGCCTAGTGCCAAGTGTCAGATGTGTGAACAAATGTGTAATGATTACATTTTGGATCCAGCAGTGTTTTAGAGCAAACTGCTTAAAATTCCAGCAGTTACTCTTGCAAAGTGTTTTCCTGTCTTTAGTTCCTTTGTCTTAAAGTTATAGCTGCAGAATAAAATTGCAAAGTCAACTCATGCTTTGCAGCTACTTAAATTACTGGTGTAGTAAGTAACTAAGCTAACCAAAGCTAGCAGAAGATAGTTGTCTGGATAAGGTGAGTTTAACTGGTACTGATCTGATTCTTATCATTTTTCTTTATGCTGTATACTTTTTGTGGGCTTCTTAAAAAGTTGCCTTTGGTGTGTCAGGTTGGTGTTAACGTTTATTTCAAATATATGTACAGGACCAAAACTGTTTAAACTGCTAAGCTCTGATTTGTGCCTAATTTGTTCATCTTATCATTCTTTCCAAGAACTTTTGTTTTAATGATAGATATTTAGTCTTGGAATATCTCCTTCTCCATATACATGTGTGTACATGTGTGTTACCTATATATTAGTGAAAACATTATCATTTGTGTGGCTGGAATGTAAGCTCTCTCCTTTGGGTGAAAGGGTAAAGGGAGGGATTCCTCATGCAGCAGAGCAGAAAATTTATAAAACACATAACATTTTCAGAGCAACTTGCATGCAATTTTGGAGTGAATGGATAGATGGGAAAAAATGCTTTTGGGGAAACACAGTTTATTTTGGTAGTCAGGAAGCACAGAAGATTTGAAGATGGTCCTGCACCTAGGCCTTAATATATGAGAACTGTGGGTCTTTGATCCCTCAAAACAATGTGAAAACTCACATTTATTTAGAGAAAAGCTGCTGCTGATTTTACAGTTGAGGTGATGAATAAATCCAGTGATGCTGGGAAAAGTGTTCCACATCACATTTCTGTAGCTGGCTTTACAATGGCCTTGTAAAGCAACTCAGTATTGTCCCGTGTACAACTCACTCTTTTTGTCCTTCAGACCAGACACATTTCATTTAGTTCTCAATTGACCAATGTTACCTGATTTTCTTTCCTTTCTTTTCCTTTCTTCTAGCTGTTGCAGCTTCTGGAGTCTGAAACGATGCAACTAGAAGCCTTTCTGGAGTGGAAGCAACTGGAACCAGTTTACTGGCAGTGGATGGTAATGAATCAACCTGATTTTGAAGGGTGCAGCTTTCTTAACTCTAACATAGCTGACTGAAGTAGGTCCCTTCCCACAAAAGGACCTTTTCCACATAAATGTTGCAAACCAACTGTCCAACAGCACTGAGAAAAAAGCTTTTGGTAAAGTAAGGAATGTTTTCTTAGTTCTCCTTCATCCCTGTTTTCTTCAGTAAGACTCACCAGCTAAGCTGAGGAATTGCAGGGCAGAATGGCAGAATTTCATATAGTTAACACAAATGAAAAGGTCTGATCTTCATCTTTTTAATGGTTTTTAAACATAGCAATTGCACATTTTTTTTAAAATTAAATGGCTTTTCAGAAGAGAGCCTCTAAGCTTTATTGCAGTCTTGAGAACAACTAAATTTGCAAGCAGCTGATATTGAAAACAACTTCATTTTTCCCAGCCAAATAGTGTGTTGACATTGCTGATTTCCCCTTGAACTGTGTTGAATGATCATAAGAAAATCAATAAGCCTTTCTCGGTGCATCTTATGATTTCTCAAGTGAGTGCAAACGATGCCATCCATCTCACTTCTCTCTACAACTTTTGCCCATTCACTGTTGCTGAAAATAATTCTTTAGAGTACCACATTAGCTGTACGAGTTTACAAAATTTGGAGAATCAGTGAACTGACTGCTAATTGCCCAAATGCCTTCTTCTACACTAAAAGCAAGGCGAAGGGCAATGTAAAATTACCCCACTTGTCTCGAAGGGTACTTCCAATTGCCATTAATTCTCTAATGGTTTTTTCTTTACATGTCTATCCTTTTATGGCTTTTTGGAAAGCATCAGCACTAGCATAGGCCTGGCTCCCCATAGGCAAAATATAACTGCAAGTGCTGTGGCATTTCTGTGTATCCACTAAAACATTTGCCTTTGACATGTTTAACAATGTGGGGAGTGTTAAGGTCCTTCCTGGTGTTAAGTCCAGCTCCTGGCCTTGGTTAGGACAACCCCAAGAATCACACTGTATGCCTGAGACCATTGCCCAAACTACTACTTTAAAATTCTGTCATTTAATGAATTTCAAATCAAAATAGAAACAAAAAAGCCACCAAACCCTCAACAAACCCATTTGTTATCCTGTCAATGTCCCCACCATGTCTGTGTTCTCATGAGCTGGGCCTTGGGTCAGCATGAGCTGCTGCTCCCAGTGCTGCTTGGTGCCAATTTGCAGTGCTGATGCTGGCTGAGAAAGGAGGGGTTTTTTTGCTGTTCTTAGCTGTCTTATGAAGTTTTTTCTTGTATGGGCCTAAAAATCTCTTGCTGTGAATTAAGCCAGACTTTTTAACCTACCTTCAGGGCAAAGAGAGAAAGAGGGGAAAAAATAAAATAAATTCCCATTCTCTTTATAGCAATCTTTTATATAAGTGAAGGCTGTTAGCATGTCACTGGCTTCCCAGTCTCTGTTTCTAGGCTAAGCAAAAGTTTTGATGTCATTGTCTCCTTGCAGGCCATCCAAACTTGTGATGGTTGTTGCTTCTCTCATGTGGGACTTTCCCTCTCATTTGTCCCTGTTTAACTTCAGGTGCCTCACCTGTATGTCAGTATTGCAGTCAGTGCTCTTCTATCATGGAGACTTGTGTTTATACTTGCTAACATGGTACTTGACTTTAACAGTGTGACACTGGTGACTTCTGGCTTTCTGTCATCTCATCCAGCAGTGTTGCTGCTGAGCCAGTAATTATGCACTTGGTTTTTCCTTGCCTGCATGTAGACCATGCTGCTCAACTGCTGAATTTCCTCTCAGTGTTTTTAAATTACTTCTTCAATTACTAGAGATAATTTTGAATTCAAGTTATGTCCTTAGAAGAGATTATGACCTCTCCTATTTAATGTCTTCTTGATAACAGTATGGAAATAAATATTTAATACTCTGTGAATGAGCCTGGGTCCTTTAATTATGCTGTGCTACTCTGGCTTGAAAACTGTGTGTTTCTACATATTCTGTGCACCAGAGTGTATAGGGATGTGCGTTTCAAGGACTCTGCAGTTACTTGGGGGGTATTTTTGAGTATTTGAAATAACACTTGCTGTATGAGAAGGCAGTTGCAGAATTAATTACTGAGCCAGCTAGGCAGCCATGGTCAAACAGAGCTGACAGCTCCTGACCAGCCTGGAGCACAGATCTCTTGGGATTCCTCATGGAGCTTTCAATGGGCACAAGTGATCCCATGGGTGTTTCAGCTTACTGTGCTACATAGCAGGTGGGGCTGTCCTGAGTGTACCTCCTTCCTGGTCATCACTTTGTTGCCAAAGGCCATGGAAGTGCATCCAGCCTTAGAGTATGAGAGGATGGAGCATAACTGGAGCTGCTGCAGTGCTGATCACCTCTGTCTCTTGAGTGTTACTTTATGCTTTAGTGTAGTGGAGAGTAGCTGACTGTGCAGTGCTTTCTAAAATAAGCTAGGTTAGCAACATAAGTTTTCTGTTAACTTGGAAATATGTAAAAGTGAACTGAAGGGGTTCTCTCTTAAAATAACTCTAAAATGGTGGAACAACTGTATATTGAGATGGCAGCGGTGTGAATTCCTAGTTACGAATTACCA